TACCATGACTAATTGAGACGGTCACAATTGTAAAGGTAGTAGATTTGTAACAAAAATGGCAGTGTAGTTACTCTTATAGGATAGAAACAGGATCCTAGGACTACCGGGGGAGAAGAGCACAAACAGTGCAGGACCCTATCCAGAGAAGCAGCGACAGCAGAGATGGAGGCAGAGATGAAGACATGGAGAGAAAGAGCAGCTGAGGACTCTGATTCAGGGAAAGAGAGGGACTGGGTGCTAGTGGCCAGGAGGCAGGCTTGCAGAATGTGCCCTTTGGTTGTTTAAATGATTGTATATTCCTGGGTGTTTCTGTGTACACCCCACAAAACAAAACAGGGAATGGAAGTAAATCCTGTTCAGTGAGGATGCACGGAGGAGATAGTAATCATTGCAATGAAATGATGGTGTAAAGGAGATGTTCTCCCATGTAAACTATCACTTAGTTCACAATAAAAACTTATTAAAAGAAAAAAAAGTTACAGGCATCCTTGTGGACTACAACAGAAGAAATGTAACCAAGCCAGAGAAGCGTTTGGAAGTTAAAACAGAAGAACTCTGAGGAGCCTGGTTCGTGTTCTATGCATCTTTCCTGTTCTTTGTGCATCTGTGAAAGACTCTTTTCTCTGAAGGTCAACCTTCATTCCCTCTGAAGGATGGCCACTTCAGAACTCCCAAACTTCTGCCATGCTTCTTCATCTGCGCATTTCAGAACGCTGCGTTCTTAGTCTAACTTCTAAATTGCACAAAGGGGAAGTCTCGCTAGGCTTGGCTTGTGTCAGCTATGTGTGGCTGAGCTAAGCTGCGACGCATCTTGCCATATTCCGTCCTATGGGGTCAGGCAGGGGCTGGGATGGTCTCAGAAAAAGCAGTAGTTGTGAGGTAAGGCAGCACCTCAAACATGCCTGTAGTCAGAAACTTTGCCTGTAGGTATAAACTGTGATTAACAACAACAACAAACATATTTGTTTGTTTGGAAAGGAGATTGGACATCCTGGTTCAGTTGAGCTTTTCGGATTCATTCTTTGATTCACCAGGCATTGTGGTAAGTACCCTACTAAACACTGGAGATGCCCCAATAAGATAAGGATCTGATTATTGCACTTTTAGAATTTAAAGTCTGACAGAGAAGACCCATTAGTGTATAAGAATATAATTAGAAAGGATACGTACAAACCTACAACAGCTACTCTCTGCTTGCTTATGCCAAAATTTATATAACATCATTCCAGGGTCGTTAGAATTGTCGACTTAAAAATTAGCCTGCTATATTTGATCAAATATTTAATTAACTCACCCCTAATATGATGGCTCAGAGTCCTGGTGTGGCCCTGTCAGACCAGCACTGGACTATGAACCATAAGAGCAGCAGTTCAAACCTACCAGCTGTTCCTTAGAAACCCTATACATGGTTTCTGTGAGTTGGAACCGACTCAGTGGCACTTAACAACAACAACAACAACAACAATGTGGTAGCTGGAGTCCTGGTGAGGCACAAGGTCAGTCTGAGCTGCAAGGTCGGTGGTTCAAACTCAACCAGCCGTTCCTCGGGAGCCCTATACAGGGTTGTTGTGAGCTAACGGACTCCACAGTACCTAACAACAACAATGTGATGGCTGGAACTGTGGTTGCTATGGCAGGACCAGACCGATTGATTCCGTCAGCCTAAAAGGGCTGCTGGATAGATGTTCTCCAGTCTCAACCTAGAAGAAAAGACTGAAATTCAGAGATTGTACTTAGTAAGTCAAGGAGTTCTGGTAGCGTAGTTGGTTACGAATCGGGCTGCGAACCTTAAGGCCAGCAGTTCGAAACTACCAGCCGCTCCGCGGGAGAAAGATGAGGCGTTCTGCTCCCGTAAAGATTTACAGCCTCGGAAACCCTGTACAGGGTCGCTATGGGTTGGAAACAACTACACGGCACTTAACAACAATAACAACTTAGTAAGTCAGAGAAGGCTTCTGATGATAGATCTGAGATAAGAAGGATGAATAGGAATCAGCTGAGTGAAGAAGACGGGTGAATGTAGCTGCATGTGCAAAGGTTCTGTGGCAGGAAGTCTGTAAAGAGCTAAAAGAAAGAGCTGGATTATAGGAATCTCATTATCTCTGCTCCCTCTGGCCCTAGTTACCATGATGCCAGTGAATGCAAATGGTGGGTTTTCAGGTGACTGTATTATTTTAATTAAAGGTTAAATGCCCTATAGGTTGCAAAGATACATTTGCATTTCAAGTATCAATTTTTATGTTACAAAGCAGATTATGGTAATCTTAGGTTTTGCATGCATTCCGCTTGGGGGTGATTAGTGCATTTATTACCTTGAAGGACTAAGCTCATGATTAAAAAGAGAGGTCATTTTCCCCAGCCTTCTGTGTTGGTCTGCTTTACAAGTCTCAAAGTATGTAGTGTTTTCCTTTGTATGCTGGAAATTTGGGATCGTTACCTAATATTCCTGCACACAAGCATGATTGCTGCCAGAATGTTTCCCAGATGCCCGAGTGAAGCCGCGATTAGTGAATTCATGTGTGAAAATGTGAATTCGACATAGAAATTTCTTAGCGCTCAGAGTTTGGTAGTAATGCGTTATAAATGCGAGCTGTTATTGCTTTCGTTCCTGAGTGTGAGGGGCAACCTCATAGGCCTTTATCTAAGTTAATGATGTCAGAGCCTCTGAGGAGTTTCAGCTATGAATGCTGCTGGATTTTCCAGAAGAAAAACGTCCAGAGTCTGTTGTTGTCTGTAACAACTTTCGGTCATACCCAGGTGACTGAAATGCTGTTTAATATTTTCATGTTTCATTGAGCCCATTCTCTCTAAAATGTTATCTTTTGAACATATAATTAATATGAGTATTGATGACATAATAAACAGTTATTTTTTATACAAGTTTTTAAAATCCCATGTATATTTTACACTGAGCGCACATGTCAGTTTGGATGCTAAATTGTCATTGAAAATGCTTGACATGTATTTCAGAAAGTTTTCATTTGAAAAAGCAGACAACATAATGGTAGAAATTTATGGGATGTTTTCTTGCTTCACTTATGACCAGTTGACCGAAAGACCTGATCTTTCTTCTTTTTTTTAAATCTGTTTCATCCTTGAACTTGGTGACATTCTGAATTTGAAACTTTAGGCTCAAACAGTCTTGGCAGTCAGCTAACTGCCACCAGTCCCATCTCTGGTTTTCCCAATTTGTTGTTGTTATTTTTTATTTTTGTTTTACATTCTTCCAGGAGCCCTGATGGCACTGTAGAGTAAGCACTGGACTATTAACCACAAGATAGGCAGTTCAAACCCATCAGCCACTCCATGGGAGAAAGACGAGTTTGTTGACGCCCGTAAAGATTTACAATCTCAGAAGCTGTATATGGGAGCCCCATGGTTCAGAGTTTATTCTTCCAAGAGAAGGAACCCTGGTGGCACAGTGGTTAAGTGCTTGGCTGCTAACTGGAAGACTGGCAGCTTAAACCCAGTAGCTGCTCTGGATAAGTACTGAACTTCTAACCCAAGGTTGGTGGTTCAAATCCACCAGTCACTCCATGGGAGGAGATGTGTCTTCTATAAAGATTATAGCTTTGGAAACCCTATGGGGCAGTTCTACGCTGTGCTCCAGGGTTGTTGAGTCTGAATTGAGTAATTGGCCAAGATGGTAGAATCCTGACTTCCTACTTTTGTGTCCTTGGGTAAGTCATTGAGCTTTACTTTGTTTCTCCCCTATTAAATAAAGATAGAGGAGTCCTGGTGTGACACTGTGGGTTAATGTGCTGAACTGCAAAGTCAGTTTGAACTGTAAGATCGGAAGTTCAGGCTCATCAGCTGCTCCTTGGAAATCCTATACAGGGTCGCTATGGGTCAGAACTGACTCCGCCACACTTAACAACCACAAATTGAGATAAAAAAAAAAAATAACTGTTTGAAAGGATTCTTGGGAGGATTGAACGAAATGATCTAACCTGGGCTCACACATCACAGGACCAGGCAATGTTTCCATCTGCTTTGCTTAGTTGTTGTTGATGTTGTTATGTGCCGTGGAGTCAGTTCTGACTCATAGCGACCCTGTACAGGGTTTTCCAAGGCTGTAAATCTTTACAAGAGCAGAAAGCCTCATCTCTCTCCCATAGAACAGCTGATAGTTTTGAACTGCTGACCCTGAGGTTTGCAGCCCAATTCGTAACCACTATGCTAGGATTACTATGAATACTATGAGCCAACTTGATGATATCTGACCACAGTAACAATAAGTAGAATGAGTTTTTAACTGAACCCAAACAGAACGATCCCATTTTGTAGACAGAGAAAATGAACTCTCAAAGGCTTACAGAGTTAGTAGATGGTTGTTGTTGTTGTTAAGTGCCATCAAGTCAATTCCCGACTCATAGCAACCCTCTGTAGGTTTCTGAAAGCAGCTGGTGGGTTTCAACTTGTGACCTTGTGGCTCATGGTAAAGTGCTGATCCTATAGCTCACTATTTGACCCACAATATGTAGCAGGCAGTTGTCCTTCAGTTGATTCTGACTCGGGATGACCCTGTGTCTCAGAATAGAACTGTGCCCCAAAGGGTTTTTAGTGGCTCATTTTTCAGATGTAGATTACCAGATCTTTCTTCCAAGCTCTGTGGAACTTTTTGATTGGCAGCTGAGCACATTAGTCATTTACAGCACCTAAGCCTCCCGAATATCCTCTGAGCTACTCAATTATTGTCAGGGGACCATCGTGGAGCAACTCCTCTGCAGGAGAAACAATCCGGCACTTTCTTCTTGTAAAGACCACACAGTCCGGGAAACCCTGTGGGGCAGTTCTACTCCATCCTAAAGTATTGCTGTGAGTTGGAAGAGACTCGATGGCACACAACAACAACAAATTACAATCACCTTTTCCTTCTTCACTGAGTACTAAAATGTTTGCCCCATCCACTGACTCCAGCAAATCCACATGATACCAGACACCCTCTGGACTTAAACAAGACATAAAACAGTCAAATATGGCTTTTCAATGTTTTGTAGGGGCACATGAACACTTCTCTGGGGGCTTGGATCACGCCCCTGGCATATTGATGTTTGACATGAAGCGATTGGTTGTGAATCACAGGTGGGATGTTTGGTAAAGCTGTAAAGTGTAAGTCCTCAGTAGAAGCAGAGCTAAGGGGGGGCAGGTGTCATTCAAGCCTTGAATGCTACTTGAAGGGGAGTATCACTGGGCAGTTTCTATTAACCAGGTACTGCCTATGTACTTCCTCAAGCAAGGTAAACATCCAGAGGGATAGTGAGAGGGACAGGCAAGTCAGATGGGGTATATAAAGGAATGTTGATGAAGAGCCAGATAGGACGAGTTGAGCTTTAGAAGCTGCCCAAGAATTTGGTGTTTTATGCATTTCTGTATTTTTATCTGGCCCCATCAAAATAGTTGAAGCTTTCACAGATCTTGAATGAAATGAGAAAAGGAAAATTAGGATACGCAGAATGATACAATGCTAACCATAAGGCTATAGTGTATACAATGCATAGTGAAAGGGCCTACCTACTACCTGAACGTAGACTTTGTGTTTGACTCTGAGCTTCCTAGCAGCCAAAGCAAAGAGTGAAAAACAATCATGATGCACAGTGTCTGTTAGACAAAAACGAGTATTCCTATCAAGACTGAGACTTAAACCTTGTAGATTGTTCCTTAGTTTGCCCCCACATGTAGTATCAGAGGTACTCAGCAAGATGTTTGAGAGGAGACCATCATAAAGAGGCTTCTAAAAGCCCAACAGACTCCTGGTTGGTTCTTGGAGCTTTTTTCTCCTAAGAGCCACACAGTTCCCATTCTTTTGTACTTTGAGAGTGAGACCTTAATCTGTGCCAAGCAAGAAGGTCATAAAGCATTTTGTCAACTTTTCTTTTCTAAAGGACATAGACTGGTCTGCTAGGAAATTAATTTCAAAGGCTGCCATACCAAATGCCCACATACTTGATGACCTAAAACAACAGTTTATTTATTCATAGTTCTAGAGACCAAAGGTCTGCAGTCAGGCTGCCATCAGGTCTGCTCTCTCCCAAGGCTCTAGAAGAGGATCCTTCCCCTTCCGGTGGCTCCAGGAGTTCCTAAGCTTCTTGTAGCATCTCTTCATCTCTGCCTCCATCCTCCCTTGGCCTTTGCCTCTGAGTATCTGTCTATGTCCTTTCTAATCTTGCAAGGTCATCAGTCATTGGATTTAGGGTCCGCCCTAAAGTCAAGATGATTTAATCTTAAGATCCTTGACTAATTAAATATCCAACCCATTGTTAAAAGTTCTAACTCAGTTGCTTTGTGGGAAAAAGACCTGGTTTATAGCCAGGAAATCCCTATGAGGTAATTCTTCTCTCGTTACCTGGGATCACTGACTGTTGGAATTGAGTTGACAGTACCCAATAATACTGCCTCTCCCACCAAATCAAATCTAATCAAAACAAACCAACACATACGTATATCTTTGTCGCTATTTCTACATACCATTATTTTCTCAAAAAAAAAAAAAAAGAATCAAACCAAAAATAAAAACCAAAGCTGAACAACAACAAAACACGGTTGCTGCTTCTTGGCTCCTCGCAGTCTTTCCTTTGACTCCTCTGCCCTGTTGCCTCTGCTGAGAAGTTTTCCTGGACGACAGCAGTTCCTATTGGTTGTACTCTTCTGTATACTATTAAAATGTTTATTTTCATCAGTCAAAAAGACACAAGACAGTTACCATTTAATGACCCACTGTTTAGGTTGATCAATGTGTGTTTGTCTTATTTTTGCAACTAGATTGTCAATTCTCAATGGACAGGGATTTGTTTTATTCTTGGTCTCCACCAGCATACAGACTGATTTGTTGTATCGTTCAGGCTGAAATTGATGAGTGTTGACAGAATGTATGGACTTCTGGTAAAGTATAACAGGGAGAACCAACAAATACTGAATGCCCATTAAGTTTGCGTTTATTATATGCAATAATCTATGTAAACAGTTCCCATTTTATTTAGAAGCCTTTCTTTCATCTCACTCTCTTTTGAACATTGTGGTTGGGGGTGACGGTTTATAGAGCAAATAAATTAGTATCCCATTCAACACTCTTATACATTTTGTTTCATGACATTAATTGCCTTTCCTTAAATGTAAGAGCACTCTTCTTACTCCTCCCAAAGGCTTCTCGGTTCCGTTCACTCATCTTTCCATCCCATCTGACTTCTGAACTTTGTTTTTTTGGTAGATGCTGCCCTTTTGGTCTCATATAGTTGATTGCTTTGAGAAACATGTTTCTTATGAATGTTACTGTTCACTTTATAGGTCTGTCTGTCATTTGGCTGGAAGGAGATAACCTGGGTTAGGTTAAGTGCTTGATTTGAAGGTTGTAAAGGCCATTGTTGTTATTTGTCATCAAGTCAGTTCCTACTCGTAGCAACCCTGTATAGTGTTTCAAAGGAGAGGCTGGTGAGCTTGAACCACCAACCTTGTGATTCAAACCAACCTTGCAGTCCAGCGCATTAACCCACAGCATCACACCAGGAATCCATAAAGGTGATAGTCTCCAAGAGTTTACAATGTTGATGATTCTAGATGCATCATTTAGTGTGATATTGGCAAGGTTTCACCATGTCAATATCACACTAAATGATATTGTCGTTGTGATGTGCCATGGAGTCGGTTCCGACTCATAGCGACCCTGTACAGGGTTTCTGAGGTTGTAAATCTTTACGGGAGCTGAAAGCCTCATCTTTCTCCCGCAGAACAGCTGGTAGTTTTGAACTGCTGACCATGAGGGTTCGTAACCTGATTTGTAACCACTACACTAAATGATACTACATGAAGAAATTTGTAATTCCATTTAACATGATATTGTTACTCTAACTAGATAGTATCCTCTGTTTATTTAAGTATTGTTTGTAATTATATTTATGAATATAGCTTCATGAAAATTAGAAGTTATTATAAATGTTATCGTTAGGTACCACTGATTGGCTCTGACTCACAGTGACCCTCTCTACAACAGACTGAAATGTTGGGAGGTTCTGATTCATCCTCATGTTGTTGTTATTAAGTGCCGTCGAGTCGGTTCTGACCCAAAGCGACCCTGTACAGCCTGATTCATAACCACTACGCTACCAGAGTTCCTTTGATTCATCCTCATAGTCCTGGCTAAATTGAAGCCCATTGTTGCAGTTAGTGTCAATCCCTCTCACTGAGGGCCTTCCTCTTTTTTGTTGACCCTCTCTGCTTTACCAAGCGTGATGTCCTTCTCAGGGACTTGTCCCTCCTGACAGCAGGTTCAAAGCAGGTGAGCTGAAGTAGTGTGTAATACATGTTCTATTATTGTTGTTGTGAATTGCCATTGAGTCAGTTCAGACCCAGTATACAGTTTTCAAGGCATGGATGGTAGGTTTGAACCGCTGGCCTTGCGGTTAGCAGTTCAGTGCTTATCCTACGGCACCACACCAGTAGTCCACATACATAAATCAGTTAATATGTTAGTAATGTAAAAAGGCTTTACTTTTTGGCCCACAAGAGGGCACTGCTGTCAAACGAAAGGTGATTTTAAGGTTGAAAATTTAAGAAAGGTTTAGATTTGAGTTTTTAAAAATGCATTATCCTACTAATGGATTTTAATGGTCAATACTGTCAACAATGTGTGTTGTAATCTTTTTATGGCTGAATTTACTGTGTGTGTGTGACCATGGGCTGCATGTTATCCTTAGCTGAATCACGCTGTATTTTCCTGACATTCGTTCTGTGAGTCATTGTTATGCTGGAAGGCACCTTAGAGATCATCTCGTTAAAGTGTATTAATTCACAAGTGAGAAATGTGGGGTCCATAGAGATTAAATGCCCATGACTTTGGGAGTGAAAGGAGAGATTTACATTTCTTCATTTATTAAACAAAACATACTGCATGCCTCTGGTAGCGTAGTGATTACGAATCCGGTTGCTAACCTCAAGGTCGGCAGTACAAAACTACCAGCTGTTTCGCAGGAGAAAGATGAGGCTTTGTGCTCCCGTAAAGGTTTACAGCCTCGGAAAGCCTGTACAGGGTCGCTATGAGTCAGAACCGACTCCATGGTACTTAACAACAACAACAACAATACCGCACACCCAGCCCACGTGGAGCGTTACGCATGGAGGTTGGGGTAGAAGAGAAATAAGGCAGCATCAGTCCTCCTAAGAGGGTTTTTACATGTAAGATCCCCACTCACCCATGACAATAATTGAAATATTAAAGGAGCTGCTGCTTTAGATATCTATGTACAATGTAGCTCATTTTTATAGATGGTCTTTATATAGAAGTTAAGGTGGCACAACAGTTTAAATGCTTGGCAGCCAAGCAGCAGGTTGACGGTTCGAACCCACTAGCAGATCTGTGGGAGAAAGACTTGGCTATCCTTATTTGAGATTGTTAAGGACCATCAAGTTAGTTCTGATTCATAGTGACCCTATACAGGGTTTCTGAGGAGCAGCTGGTGAACTTGAACCGCCGACCTTGTGGTCCCGTGCTCATCCTACAGTGCCACACCAGATTACAGTCCGGGAAACCCTATGGGGCAGGTTTCTGTGTCACCTGTGGTAGCTACAATTCTAAATTGGCTAGGTGACACTTAGGAATGGTAATAATGTGAAGTTAGATCAGATCAAGCAAAAACTTTAGAGATAAAATTCAAGTTTTTCACCATGTATGGGCAGCCTCCAGAGTATTATATGGAAGTCATTTTAAGTAAAACCCTTGGACACTCTGTTTTGATTATTTGAAAAATGAAAAATGAGAGGAAAATTTCCAATTAAAAATGGGTCTAATTAAACAAAAAAACAAGAACCCTCAGCGGCAAGGATAATTGGGCCTTGAGAGATTTGTGGCTAAATTGTCATTACCATTCCTATTTGCTGGGTCCCAGAAGTGGGCAGTTTTACATGGACAACAAGCTGTGGTACGGAGTAAGCGGTGGTAGAATCTGGTGAGTGCATCATATTTCCCTAGAACTCACCTGTTGCTTTGCTCAGTTTTAAGTTGGATAGCTGTCAGTGAACCATTACCATTTACTGACGACTGCATTTGTACTTTTCATGGTCACTTGAAGAGTAGAGGGTTCCTTCATTAATCAAAGTATTGTTTG